TTCCAGCAAGAAATGATAAGATGTAAGGGACAAGCTAACTATATTAAAGCTCTAAAAGACTAAATACTTTATAAGATTCTCGCCAATTTGTCACCAAAAGAAGCAAGAAAGGGATCATGATTGACTTATAAAGTAGGGCTTTTTGGGGATATTCGCTCTCTTACCCAGTCTGTTGCTGCTTACAGTCAGATCCATTTTACCCCTATGGAGTAGAAAACTGACCTTCATAACAGAGACTAATAATCGGAGTTTAAAATTTATTGGACTTAAGATACGGCGTGGCGGTTTAAGTGGATAGGCACATTTATTTATTTTGACGTTAAATTGCTCATAGTCATACTTCAAACATTCTTACATATGGTACACAAACCATTCTGCCTGCAAATAGCACATAAATCAAACATACGCTTCTCTTGCATAAGCAGATCCATGTAAGCTATTCATTTCAAGCGCTAGACCATGTAACTTTTGGGGGTACAGAAATAATTCTAAAAATACCCCTACATTAATTGACCGTTCAACCGGCAGTTATATATGGTTACACTTACAAGATTGATTTTACGGATATTATAAAGACAGATTACTTTCAAAGAACTAGAAAAACAACAACAAAAACAAGACAAAAAGCGGTAAAACTCATAATGTTTTTCAGGATACAGTAAAAGTCCGGAAGTAAGGACATAGTTTAAAGAATCGGTTAGGTTAAATGGGCCCGTTAGACCCCCTCTATACCTGAAACAGGTTTTTATTTTTAGAAGTTTATACGTTACATTACAGATTTCTAAATTCATGTGTTCAGTGTTCCAATATTCCTTATCAGCTTATGTCACCCATTTTTACAAAAATATTTATTTGGCATGCAGATTTTATATAAGGAATCAGGGGTGAATACTTCCATAAAATTCTATTAGCTACAAGGTATTTTTTCCTTCAGAAAAGAAAAACCTATTTAAGAACCTAAATAGCCTACATTTATGCTGATTACCATTTATGTAAGAACTATTGTCAAGGTTAACTTGGGAAAATCGATGTTCTTACATGCGGTTTTTTGTAGCAAAAATACTCACTTAGTAGAGAAGTATTTATAAATATTAAGCGGTTGTAAAAAATTCTTATAAGCCATTAATAGCTTTATTATAGCAACATAGAAGAGAGAAGGATTGTTAATATTTTATACCTATTTATACACATGATTGTAATATATCAAGCTCTACGAGTTTCGTACTTTTTCATGGGCAATTTGTACGTAAAGTATCATTAATAAAGGAATTAAAGTTTGATTGTCTATCTTAAGACTTAAGTTTTATCGCTTGTGTTGTTGCATTCACACAATAAATCAGACAATTCTATTTCCACATCTATGGGTATGAATTTCACTCTGGCCTAATAAACAACAACAAAAAAAACAGCTACCTAAGCAATATGCTATTGAAAAACACTTAAAAAAAACGAGATACTCGAGTGATAAAAACGATTACAAGAAAGCAAATCTAGGCAAGTAGTCAGTCTCAGGCAATACCCTTCTTCGACTAAGACAATGTAGTGATGTAGTCATTACACTTTCTACAAAGAAATCAGATCTCTTATTTTCTGAAAAGTTCATTTAACCAATTTTTTATAATTTCGCGTTATTCTCGCTGACTACAAGCTCTATCAACTATAAACATGGTTGTTTTTAATTTATATCTTTTTATCCACTACTGCCTTGTCCACCTTTATTTATTTTCGTCTTTTTCCCCTTTCCTGTTGTGTTTTCGATCGGATTTAATTCAGCTATTATGTGTGCAACTGTTTCAAAAAATTACTAGGTTAAAACAGACTGTTCACAGTCCCATGCAAGATGGCAGCCTGTAACACAAAGCTCTCGATGTCGATGATCTTACGGAAAAATAGAGGACTATGAACAGTCTAGGTTAAAAAAAATTGACCTTACATGATACATATACAGTAAAACATATACGAAAAGTTTTAATTTTCTTTTTTGATTTTTCCATTGCTTAAATCCCCATACATTTTGCGACCCCACCCGGATGGTAGAGCAGAACCCTAATACGCACATGCTACACAGTTTTCACCCCAACACCTCCTCATGATCAGTATTCAATAAATACCACGAGGCTCCGCTCCAACACATAGAAAAGAAAGTTGAATTTTTAAAGGCCATAATTAGGATTCTTAACTCAACACAACATCACAAGTAGTCTCCTTTACATAATCACAAATCCGAGCACTCTTCGTGAATCTGGCAGCGAAAACGTTATCCATAAAGTAATTTCGTGTTCTTTTTTGGGAGGCTTTATCATTGTTTATCCATAAACTCCAACTTTCAACTGTAGCCAAATTCGTTAGGAATTGAATTATTAAGAACGTATCCAAGTTCGGAAAGAGAAAGAGTTGGATTCCTGGTGCTAATACTCTTCCACTGAGCGTCGCATCAGGCATTTTCACTTCGTAGTTCAGTTGTGCAGTGACAGCAAATAAATGAAACAAAAATTGTGTTGTTTGCATAGGTAATCACACGACTTCCTGGTCAATTCATGAGTGAGCCAGTTGAAAAACACACTAGTGCAAATAAATTCCAAATCGAACGCGCAAAGTTGTATGATTACCCTCAAATATACCGTAAACTTCCGATTATAAGTTCCCCCCCTCCCCACATTTACAGGCTACCTTTTAACAAAAAAACACATCCGATTATGAGCTCCCCTCCTGAATATAAGCCCTCCTCTGGCATGTACTGAAATAAATTAATTTTTCACGACGTTTTGAAGCTTAAAAAAGCGATGAGACTTTATTTTGATCAGCACTGTTTTGAGACACTGTTTTTAATCCGGCTATTTTTAAGCCGCCCTCCTTAAACCCCTTACGAAGTTGTATAAGCCAGGGCTTACAGTCGGAAGTTTACGGTATCACATGGAGAAATGACTTAATCAGTTATTCGTCTCCAAAACAGTCCCATAGTGCAATTCGACACAAACGACCCAGTCTCACGCCTCACTCAATACGGCACCTGATTGGTTCTCATGCATGTACATTGTTTACCAGCCAATCACAGTTCTTCAATCTCTGAGATATTTAATTTGCATTCTGTTTCCTTGTTTTTGCAGATATTTGATGTTTTTGCTCTATGATTACTTAAAAACTGTATCACTCTCAGTCAATCAGATTCAAGAAAATTTTTTCATGTACGGTATTTCAAAATCACTGAACTTATTGCCGTCCCGGTTGTACATCTTAATCCTATTGCAACTGCCGACGCTACCTCTGTAGTAGTAAAAGATAGAAGCATGTCTTTACCGTGCACAACCTAACGTTACGAACAACCATCCAAATTTTTACCAAAAACGATCTTTTTCGATGGAGTCAACTAAAGAAAATTAGATTTCAGCAACAACCAATAATCGAGGCACACGTATAGTCTATGAACTGGTACTTTCAAGACGACTTCCTGAATATAAGCATCTGTGACAATGTATGTTTGGAGAAGTGTCAACCATCGCGCCGGTACGTTTTGAACTGTCTTTTGGCTGTTCCTCTCCCATAAAGTAACCCCTGTTATTCTAGCCTGCGTGGCAGGCGTTTGAAAGGGAAGGGAAAGGGAGTTTTAGGCGCAAGAGAAACGCGAGGGGCGCGCGAGGAAGGAGGTTCCCCTCCTCAAACGCGAGGTCGCGCGTGGTCTCGAGCCCTAATTCCCTTTCAAACGCCTGCCACGCAGGCTACTGTTATTCCGGCTACACTAACTAAAGTTAACCTTTTCCTTAGCCGGCAAGCAGGCTCACTTGTGCGAGTTTAGGGAAAATCGACGGCACTAACAGCCGCCAGTTCGAGCCGGCGTAGCCCCGCTGGGGGAATCCGGTGCCCAGGGTACTTTCTTAGCAGCTCGGCTGCCACGCGAATTGACCTGTACCCACTGTTCTCGCGCCCCGACTCCGTCGCCAAAACAATACAGCACTCCCACGCTAATCCCGCCAGCTACGCAGGCTACCTGCGGCAGGAAAAATTGACATTCTTCTAGCTGGCTCACTCCAAATTTCCCCCCCAACTCGCGCAAGTGAGCCGCAGCTCGCTGGCTATCTTTTCCTCTTAAACAAGTTACTTTTAGCAAGTTTTTATTTAATTTTACATTTAAATTGCTTTATTTTGACTCGAAAAATGTCCGCTGTCTGGATAAAAAGAGTCAGAAAAGGTGCTTGAAACTTTAAAAAGTCAATCCCACTTGTTTTGACTCTATCGACGCGCATTTGGGAACAAAAACAGTTTAATCTGGCAGACACTAAAATAAACTGACTAAATGGCTGCTGATAGATAATTGTCGAAAAAATTCCTTTTCTGAGAACACCGAGTGTGGATTTGTCTTTTTTAACCCCCTTATTCTGTTGTTCGGAGTTACAGTTCATTCTTGAGAAATTTGGGAGCAACCATCCAGAAAAAATCTTTATGGTAGTCAGGCCGAAATATTTTGGAATCGGATACAATGGAAGATATCTAAGGGTACACCGAAAGATAAACTAAGCAAAATTAACCCTACCTTTGGATCATGATCAAGGCAAATGTAGTTTTCAGCTGTCTTTAATACCATGCATTTCTCTTGAATATAAGACTCATTCTGGCGCCTTCTCAAAAAGTGATTCTGTTATCGTGGAAGAAATTTCAAAAATTTTTCGTCCAACGGAGTAAACAAAGGGCAGGTATAACGTCTGGATGAAGGGTAAAAGATGTCCAAATAAAATTCGTCAATCCTAAGTTCATCATGAACGTAACTAAACAAACAGTACCATGTTTTTATTTTGCAAATAGTAACCACACAGGGTGACTTCTACGATAAAAAAAGACCCGGTAAGGCCATCGGTTGGACTTTATTAGGCGGTTTCCGGGTACATTTATCACTGTCATGGAACACAGCGTAATTACATTTGCAGCTGGTAATAATCTACACTGAGAAGCCTAGTCACTTCAAACGAGATTTCATTTGAGCATTTGCAGTGTAAAGCCGGGTGTCTATGGAGGCTAACCCGTTCTCGATTGATAGCATTTTAAAGAAAACCAGCTCTTCGCCCAATGTAGAGGAAGAGGTGAAGGAGCCACAACCTTCGAAATCATCCGAGGCACTGTCGCTAGCTGTAAAGCTGGCTGGTAAGTTTAAGTTAATTTATGTTTAAGGCTGGGAAAGGTTAAAGGTTTTAATAATCTAGTGCTCTAAGTGACTTTCTTGAAAGGAAGCAATTTAAACTGTACATGAATGAAATGGTTTTAATCTTCGGCTTAGAGACTACTAACCCTAAGCATACATTGGAAACCCGATTTATATTGAACGACGTTTTTGGCCCCGATGATATCAGTCTATTCGGGTGTATTGGACACGATCCCGATAGAAAGGGTCCCCGTTATAAAGAATGCATTTTAACAGTACCCTGGGATTTCACTATACAGTGCAACCTCGATATTACGAACTTCTATAATTTCGAAGTCCTCGGTATAACGAATGATTTTCTTTACCTCAGTAATAGTAAAGTGTATGAAAAATACCCTCTCTATTTAACGAAACCTCGTTATAGCGAACAAATTTTGCCAGTCCCTTGGCCCTTCGTTATATCGAGGTTCCACAGCAGCTGTTAGAATGAAAATACGCCTACGCAAACTTGAAGTAACGCTGGCTTACGTTTTACTCAAGAACGACAAGTAAGTATGCTATGGCCTGGTCCTTTCTCAGCATTAAGATTTCACTTTACTTTGAAAGTCCACTTTTAAAGCAAATTTGTTTCATCGAATGTTAATGTTGACCCTTTCTATTAACCAATCTTGTTTAGACAGCTAAGGTGATAGTATGGTTTCAACTGCAAAGTTAACGTAAACAAGATAACAAGGAATGAAGAGGTGTTCCTTTCAAAAAAGGTTCTTATCCAAGTTCTTAACGGCGGTAACGAGACGAGGGGTAAGACCTTCACAAAAAACAACGAGTACACGCCGAAGATCTTGAAAGGAACCCCTCAAAATATCCTTTCAGTTGATATTGAAATCGCAGTATAAATTTATGACTAGGGCTTTGTGAAAGCACATGGGTTTTGCTTTCAAAAAGGAGCGACAATTACACTGATGCCATGGAAATCAATCTCCTCTGGGCTCCAACTCCACGAAGATAAGAAACACTGATTTTGAGTGACTAGTTTGCCAACTGGGACAGGATGACCAAGAAAATTGAAAATTTAAAAGAAAAGAAAAAAAAGAAGAAAAAATGATCCACAAAAACTTCAATAAATTTTACAGTTTCGATATTTACGTGACCTTTGGCTAATCGTTACTTATCAAACTAGCGAAAGGCTTTTCTGCTAACCAAGTTGGCGCCGACAAGAGATACCTGAGATATCGATAAAAACAACAACAATAACGACACATTTCGGTGATCTATGAAAAACTGTTTCTTTTATGTGGTATTTGGAAAGAGGAGATCTTCCCGAACGCTGTTGAGCAATTAATTTTACGTAATTAAGTTAAAACAAACCTTTTTCACTATTGCACATTGCACCCATTGAAGGTAATCCCTTTAGCTTTGTCAGGTGTTAGAAATTATTAGTAAGTGTTGTTTTAATTAATTTACATTATCAGCCACCTTTCTGTCATAATCTGCGTGCGTGGGTAGGTGGGCGCCTTTTTCTCTCTTCAGCTCTTCTCTTTTTGCGCTTCATCAAACTATTTTTACCTTTACGTTGAATTTGAACACAATATTTGCTCCTATTCTCTTTTTTAATTCTTCTGTAACAGAAAAATCTTGATAAAATGGCAGAAAATGGAAGCGCCTGGAGCAACTCTTCGATCTTTTGTGCATAAAATTACAATTGTCAGAGTGTTCTCAATCTATTTTTAGACCAGGTCTCTAACTCTGACATCGATACCTATACCCGCCTCTCCCTTAAACAAAATCAGGGACGAAAGGGGGCGGCTGTATGAGCCCATACCAAAAATACGAAGTGAAGAGCACCCTTGTATGGCTTTTCAACATCCCCCAGACGTGTGCTCGCGGCTTTAAGCCATTAATCAGTCATATTTTTTATATAACCTGAAGAGTATATTCTAAATGTAAGAAAACGGACAGCGGAGCTTTCAAAATACCATTCCTTTCCCTCAATATTTGTGACGAAGTTTCAAGACGCACAGACGAGTTTTCTCGTTAACTCGAAAAGCTGTGTTTCACATGTTGAAAGAAGAAATGAAACTTGGCAAAAGGAAAGTGTTACCACATAACTTAGAACTTGTTTGCAAAAGCGGTGAAAGGTAAACTAAGAAATTGAACAAAGGCCCATTCTTTTAAAAAGCCATATTATCAACTATACTGATCTGATAGGCGATACCTACGTACTCTCTCTGTCGGTAGGAATTTGGGAATGAAAACAATTTAATCTTGTGCACACGTCGTAAGCCTTAACATAAACTGGCTAAATGGCTGCTGATGGATACAACTTGTTATAAATCATACTTCACAGAGGCTCGATGATGGAAGGAATTTTTTTAGCTAATACCTTAATCCCTTGATATAAGAATAGTTTAAAAAAGGTCCTTAAAGTTCAAGCTTGATCCTCGACAAATTACAGTTGTATGTCACTGAAGTTACTTAAACTTGGACGATTTTTTTAATGCTGGCGAAGTTACGGCGCCCAATTAACTTCTTGTATCTTGCACCATGGCACTGACCTAAAGGCAGTGTCGAAGGAATTCAGCAAAACTCGACTTCTTATTACGCTATTTTCAACAACCTTGGTTTAAATTTGAATTATCGCAGCGTACCTTGTTAGCCCTCGCAGTGCATTCTTTTATTTTCATGTAGTTTCGGTGTTTAACTGGCTTACGCAGAAATGTAGATTGTGTTCGAAAACCTTGATAAGAACCGCGACGGGGACATTAAGCTACATTTATCAATCTCAAATCGGATTAGGCTTAATTGAATTACCATCTGCTTAGCCCCTCCATCTGTACCTTGCACAATCCAAGTAAAGAGGGTCACTTGCTCTTCTAGCTGTATAATTCTTCGTCAGTTGTTCGAAAACGCCCAGCGAAAATTACTTAAGCTTAATTCATTTTATACTTTTCAAAACACTAGCTTAAAAGTTAAGGTCACCCAGACTTCATTGTGTTGTGTCTCTTAAACCCGCCCTCAGGCTATTCTTTCGAAGATCATTGCCGGCTATCCTCTGGAAGCAGGAAAGGCCGGTGTTGGAAACTCAGAAGCTGGGCGCGTTAGAGGAATGGCTTTCGTAAGCGGAGAGTTCAAACAGGGTTTTGTCAAGGTTGCCGTAAATAGAGCTGTCCGCTTACTAGAGTGTCCAATGAGAAAGTTTCGATAGTACTGGCAAACAGATTACTGCTATCTGATAAAATGAGTACCAAACTTATACAGAGAAAATGAAAGCTTATCTTTGATTAGAACTTACCTTTTCGGTAGATGTTATCTTGGAAGCTCGCCAAGAGAATACTCGTCGTACTCCACGACGTACGCGTACAGCCTTCACTCATCAGCAGCTTGGAGTTCTGGAAAAATCTTTCAGTAAAACACATTATCCGGATGTACAATTAAGGGAACGACTTGCTGAAAAGACCAACCTGCAAAAAGGAAGAATTCAGGTGAATTAGCGTTGGGCGTTTAAATGATCCAGCGCAAATTATAATAATATGACTTATTAATAATGACTTTTATAGGGGTGCCAAATTACTGGTACTTGTAGCCAGGTAGATTTCATTGTTGCCGACAAATAGGGATAGAAACAAATATAAGAAAATAAACATAAAAGAGGGTAAGAATCCCATCTGGCCTGAGACAAACCACTTGGCTATTTACAAGCGAGACTGAGGAGTTGAAGTCGGGACTAACGAGAACAAATCCAGCAAGGGGGTAGGGCGGGGATTGAACATACTGTAGAATGTTAACACTGAAAATTAAAAAGATCTGTTTCAGCCCTGCAGGCCAAAGTCTGATTCAGCCCTTTTTGGAGCCATTTAAGCACAATTTAGACTAAAGCAGCTCAATCAAAAGGCTATTCCATCCCACGCTGGGGCCCACTTCAGCCCTTGGGTCCAAATCAGCCCTAGGTAATTGGACTGTATTGGGCTTGATTTAAGGGAGCCAAATTAGACTAAAAAATATGACTGTATTTTACTCACCGAAACAGCCCCAGTTCTTTTCGATTTACAGTGTACTGCTTAACTAGACGTAAAGGTCTCCAGGAAAGGGGGAATCGTGTGTCTGGGCCCCCAAAATAAGTCTTAAACAAGGGTTTAACAAAGAGGGCGAGAGACGTCAACTTTTAAGTTCACCCTCTCTATCTGTGGAAGCACACTACGGATAGGTTGCTCCCTGAAATTTTAGTATCTACAAAAACTACAAACGTTCTTTATCACCGTAAATCTTAACTTATCTCTGTTCTTTAAAAAATTACATATGTGACGTAAAGGAAAACAACAAAAGTCACATTAATTACGGCATAAAATGGTGTAGCACCAAGCTGGCAAATACATACAAAGAAAACCCTTCCTGCTTCAATTTGCAGGTTTGACAGAGAAACTCTGCATCTTTTTTGCCGAAACGTTTCTCTTATGAACAAAAAAATAACAACTCTTTTTTAAGTGTGCGATGAAAACAAGTTCTTGGTCATAGTGACGCAACCAATCAGAGGCGCTGCTGCAATCGTGCTTTACATCTTGACATTTAAAACAGCAATCTACTTGGGCAAAACACTAACAGTTATAACTTTGTGAGGGTTCATTAAAAAGGTGAGGAACGCTTGTTAAATGTTACGCACATTTAATTTCAAGTAATTTTCCTCGTTGCGTTTATATCAGGTCTGGTTTAAGAACAGACGTGCCAAATATCGCAAGGAGACCAAGCGTTATTTATCACCAGATAACCACGAAAACGAAGAGGAAGAAACTATCGTTTGTCACGCACCTCAAATTCAAGAATCCTCACCTTGTTTTCAGTGTAACGCGACAGCTATGCCATACTTTTGCAACTATAGCGATATTTTGGAGCCTGCACTTAGACATCGTGGATTGCCCTCAGAAATGCACACACAGTTTCCTACATATCATGGACAGTTAGCACACAGTAACAGATATCACAAGTTGGCATGCGCCAATAATCATGGAGTAAATCATGTACATTTCGGACGTACATGGACCGGCTAAAGATGAAGTCAGATCTCTCAAAGACAGTTAAGACCATCACTATTTAGTGGAGAGTCAGAGGAAAGTACTTAAAAACAGCAGGACAGAACAATCTGACAGTTTAAACTATAGGATCCAACATACTAGTCCGATGAAGGATACCATTACAGTAACCATTTTGGTCACCACTAAGGCCGGATGTTGCTCGAAATGAAGTCGAAATTTTGCACAACTCTTTGTGACATCATGTCTTACAATTAAGTTACCACACTGGTTTCTGTAATGATTTTCCTCGTCAGATTTATATTTTGGTCTATATGTATAAACAGTAGCTCAAACCCTCGGTGTCCGTCAAGTTTAAGGAGATGTTCGTTAACAGTAAGTTAACGAACGGACCTACGTCGAAGAAAGAGGGCAATACTACTCCCAATCTTTTGACCAGCAGAATGCACGTTTCACTGCTACAAGATGGATACCGTTGGGCCATGGCCGGGACCTCAGTGTTTTGAGTAGCTGCTTAAGTTGCCCATTCTGAAGAGAACGTTGAATGTGATCTGAGTTCCTTAAGGGTTTTGAAAGAACGAGAAACTGGTCCTAGTTTCCTCACTGAAAATAATCCATGGACCGTTTTTTAGGTCATGATTCAACCTACTCCTCCCACCGGCCCGAGTGCAAATGTGCAGATTCCTACAACGCTCTTGTTCGTCAGGTTTAAGGGCTAAATTTGGTGTGAAGCCTGTCATGTTTGTTCTAAAAAGCAACAGGGTCTCCTGTCGATGTCGTTCAATAAAATGATGAGCTGAAAAGAGAAAAATAAAAAACAAAGCAAAACAAAACTAACGTACAAATTCCAAGGCTATTGAACGGTGTCCCCTAGGCTTCCACTCCGGGGTGAGTTCTTAAAAAGGATTGAGACAGATTATAATTTCAAACGCCGGCAAACAGACAGAAGTGCAGGTGCCAGTGAAAAAAGATCCAGAAAACGAAAGGGTCCACTGAAACAGCGTGTGGTCTGAGAGACTGGCCAATGTAAGCTGCCACTCACGTTGCTGTAATAGAAGCAGAGTTGCATGCTAAGTTAAGGCAATCTTGTACTTACTATGTTGACAGAAACCTGTGTTACTGCCGAAAATCAGGTTTGACCAAGAGTGTATGTGTAGGCATGGCAAATTACTTCCTACGGTCATAAATAAGTTCCCTAAAATTGAGGTCGGGCAACGGCATGGTTCCTTCCCTATTACTTTAGTGCAACACAAATGACATTTGGTTCTAAGTTGATAAAATATATTTAGAAGCTTTAGGAAAGCTTATTCTGAGGGGCAGAGGGCCCCCGGCATTTTTGTAGGATAATAAATAACTTTCTTTTATTTTACCACGGTCAACTCATTAGGACTATTTTGGAAAGTTTAAGTAAACATCGACTCGTCTGTTTAGAACAAGAAACAATGTACGTAGCCGCTTCGCGACTCCTTTCTCGCCGCTTTGCAGCTCGCTCTCTCTTTCGCTCTTCCTTCCCCCATCCCCCTACAGAAAGCTATCCTGAGTAGATTTTGTTGTCGGCACCGTTGAAGATTGCATCCTAGGCGTCCAAAATGTTGTTAGCCTATTCCAGGCGTTCAGATGGTGAGGAACACGCCGTACTTCGCCCGAAAGCCGGGAACAGGCTAAATAAATTGTTGGCGGCTTACAAAAAAAGACAGAGGCCGTTTTTTATTGCTTATTTGGGGGAAGGAGTCAGAACAAAATTGAATGTCCAATTTTATTTTGAGCGCCCCCACTTTTTATTTCTCTCCACCGCTACTGGAAAGCCAAGAAATATTTAGGCAATATTTGCTCCTTCGAACGTTTTTTTTTGTTTTTACAGAAAAAAGCCGTTGGGTGCCCCCGAACCCTTACTTGTTGGTACAAATCGTAGGACTTATGATCAACCGCATCAAACTGAACAGTGTCTGAACGGTGGTAGTTGGTCAACCGAAAACTGTTGTTTAATACGAGGAATGATTATGTAATGTGTTATCACTAATTTTTTTACCTCGTCTTTTGTAAAACAAACCGCCTATGGCTATTTTTACGGTTCTTGTTAGGATTCTTAATAGTTTCCGTTAACATTTATCAATGTCAGATATTAATTGTATTTTCACTTCACCTGGGCAGCTCACGAAACTGCATCACACATGTGAGGCTGGCAGCAGGTTGCTGGCTAAGAATGCGGACTATGCTTCACCCTACTTGGTAATGCCCAGTAATTCATTTTCTGTTGATAATATTCTGAATAAGACAGGTTCTTCCCATGTATTGAACGAAGAGGAAACCGAGCCATCAGTACAACCATCTCAACCCACCGCGCAGGCTCTAAGCCTTGCTGTAAGTTAAAAAATAAGAATAGTAGTTAGCTTTTCTTTTTATGTAACAGCTCAACTTATGCATTTGATATTTCTGCAATGACCGATCAGGCATGTTGATTAATAGTAGTATAACCTTCAGTGTCCATAACAGCGATTGACAAGGGATTTTTTCGTCAGCAATGTGAATAGGGAGGCATTAAAAGTAGCAGAGTGAAATAGTTTCACTTTGTTTGTTCCGTTTTTAGGTTATCGGATTAATTACGACCGTTTCACAACAGCGTCGCAGCGCTCGGCTACTCCACTTCACTTTTTATGTAAGTGGATTACTTATCACAAAAGCACACTTTTCATGGCGCCATAGCCGCCATATAGCTATTAAATCTGAAAACTGAGAGATAAAATCCAACGACTAGTTTATTTACATGCATGGAATTTGCTCAGTCGAGTAAAAAGTATAATATTTTTGTGGTGAAAACGCATTTTAAGTCCATGCAAACAATTGGTCCTGTTTTCCAACTGTCTCGAAAGCTGAGCCATGGCTATTTCCGTACAATAGCACTTAGTTTACATTAATAACAGATCTAGATTTTAACTCAGCTTACTTTAAACCTAGGTCAGTCTCTCAAGCATATGCCTTTAGTCAACAAAGGTCTAACTGAGAGTTCCGCTTACTTTCCCAGACTAGGTGCCTCAGGTAACCAATAGTTCATGTGAGTTATACAACATGCATTTGCTGTGATGAAATCTCAGCTCCTTCACTCTTAATTTCACCTAAAGGTTTTGAAAGTAATATATCAAAACATCAGTCAGTCTGAATGTATGATCAATTTCCTGCAGTAGGAGTTCATGAACGGACATGTAATATCCTAACCTTCAGCTCATTAATCACCCTTAATGAATAAATTGAAAACTGATACATATTTATGCAAAATTTCGTCTTGCTTGTTGCATTCTCAGTGGAGAAATAGTTCAAGATCCAGTAACGTAATCACCTCGTCCATAGACACATCTTGCGTCTATTGATATTACTATAGGGAATATAGACACTGCCTGAGTTTGTCTCTAAAGAGACAGGCTTCAGCCCTTATAGACCTTCCCAGTCCTTACTGTTAGTCACTTAAAATACCAAGAATATGGATAATACAGTTACTTGGGTAGTACGCTCGTGGATCACATTTTCAGGGCTAGAATACATTTTCCGCACTTTTTAATGGCTTGTTAATGTAATATCCATTATAAAACCATACATCATAAAAAGTAAGCGAGAAACGACACAAGTGTCATCTCGAAAGCTCAACAACAGGCTCCCTCCTATAAGATCATAACCTCTACAACGGGTTCCTGCCTATAGTCAGTTTTGCACAATGTCGAAGCAATTATGGTTTCAGGTAATTCCATGTTACTGCGAGACGGTCGACAGAGTTCCAAGCGTAACCATTTTAAAGAAACCTCACCCTTTCTCAGTAATTCAAGTCCAAGAAAAGACAATGGAAATTCTTGTTTCGAACAGTTTGATTTTGAAGACTACGCAACCGAAAATAAGTTCCAGGGATACTCATGATAAGAATATTATCAAAACATGACCTCTCAACAGGCAAAACCGCTATGCCATTTTATCGAGACATTAAATCGTTTTTTTTCGTATGTATCCATAAGCGAAAATGGGTAAACGAAAGTTCTGATATTGCAATGGAAACTGACAATAAGGCTGCGCCATGCCCTGGGTTATGTGTTCATTTATCATTTTATGCGCGATAAAAATCAGGGGGTACTAATGAAGAAAATTCCAAGACTGATCTCTCACACACACCGCTTCTTTTGGTATTCATTTCAAAATGAAAACAATTTAATCCGGCAAACAGGAGGACGAAAACTGACTAAAATTGACTAAATGCCTGCTGATAGATAGCGGTCGGTAAAAAACCGAGATGGACCTCATAAATCATAACTTCACAGGATATCACAACTGGGGGATTTTTGTTTGTTGATACCTTAATCCTGTGTCAGAAACAAAATTTACGGGCTTCGCATATGTGTCGCGAAAATCATTGGCTAATCTTTTCCTTTTTTTAATAATTAAACAATCAAACTTTCTGATAACAGTGCGGAAAAGGTCTCGCATGGTAACTCCACCCTGAGATAAGCGGGTAATTGAAATATTGTAAACGTTGAGGTATCTTATTGCTCATTTAATAGTATTAGCACATCATTCTTAAAATAAGTAAAGATGAAAGGCCTCGGAAATGACGCGATTCTTCGTACGTTTCTATAGACCTTACACACTTCAACAACAATGAGTCTTCTTTAAAAGGTCACTGCACGCAGGATTTAGAAGTACAGAGAGCCAAACTGTTGGCATATTTGACAGGTTCTTAAAGCATTTATCAATGTCAGGTCTGCGTTCTAATTGCTTTTACAGCTACACCAGTTAGTTAGCAGACACGATTATAAAGAGAAGGCACACACGTAGGCTCCTTACACATAGACACCGCAGTTGTTCAAGTGCATACCGTAGTTACCTACAGTAGCTGGTCATATAAATGAGCGTCGCTTACACAAACGAAGGACTCAGTGGATGCAAAAAGGACATTTGTTTTCCAATGAACACCAATCCATTTTCAATTGAAAGAATATTAAAAAAGAACACACCGCAGCCCTCAATCGAAGGTTGTCATAGCTCGGAGGCCAAGCCGGAATCTTCGAGATCAACTGAAGCACTATCCCTGGCGGTAAAACTAGCCGGTAAGTTGTCATAAGTTGGGATGTTTCGAAAAACAACCCTTGCATTGAGTACACGTTCGAAGACAGTTTTGTGGACCAGGTCTTGTAGCCATTTAATAAATACGTTAGGCTCACTCTGAAATTGACGACACCGGCATGCTGTTGTTTTATTGAAGAACCAACAAATATGCATGCAAACCTCCTATATGGCTATAAAATAACGATTAGATAAATCTAGAGAGCAGTATGGATCTGTAATTGCAAACGAGATCGACAATCGCAAAGTAAACAAATGTTGTTTTTGTATAACAACGTACCTCATTTGTACTTAAGTTGTCTGCCTCATATACAGTACCATAAAACAAGTTGATGCGCATTTGCTTTAATACGATACTTTCATCGCAGTGAAAAACAATTTACACTTGCAAAATTGAATCAGGCGTGATTAAAGGTATGCAGCAGGAAAAGGCTGAAAAAAAAAAATAGATACAACTGCATTTTTTGAGGGCCACTAGCTCATCAGTTTTTAAATAAAAATGTTATCTTACCTTACCTTACTGCATGTACCAAACTTTCATTTCGTATATTTTTGTATATATTTGATCCCTCTCCGAAAAACAGACACAAATAGTGTTACGCTTCTCTACAGGTGCCTCTCAGTTCAAAGGATTATTTTCGTAGTGCTGGAATTGAAAGAACGTGGACTCCGTTTTTTGTAAGCTTACTTCCTTTAGTGTTTCTGAAAGGATTTTTAGGTATCTAGAGACAGTAAAAGTCGCATCAACAAAATGGCAATAGCCGTGACCGTCTTTAAGGCGTGGTTAATTATAGTTTGGATTAAAAACATTGAAACCTTATCAATCAATCCATCCTAAGTGGCATCTCTCGAACGACGTGAGATTGAAAGCGGAGTGTTAAACTAAACAAGTTAACAAGGAGCGGATAGTTTAATGTACAATCCTGACATCTCGTTCTTTGAATGAGCTTGACGATTCTACCTCTTCGTCAGCTGAATAAAATTACACCTCCATAAGACGAGGTGAGATAGGAGAATTCACTAAAGAATTTCTTGGGAAATTGAAGCTAAAACATCTGTCATCTGGTATTTGAATACAAAATGGGGGGAAATTCCAGCGAAGCCGTTTAAGACTTACGAAATATGAACACACTGGAAACGTGGTGCAATGCTTTAACAATGGATGAAAAAAACAAATTTAACTAAATATGATTTACTCATAACGTGTGCCAAACTTTTCAGTATTTATCTGAGAGCTTATCTATTTAACTAAATTGCCATCTCCGATCAACCTGGCGCCAACAAAGTCTGGAAAATGGCGATAAAGAAGAAGACGACTTCAAGATCACCAAACTCTTGTCAGTTTACGCAAAAAAGCCAGATCAAAGGAAATAACTATTGACATCTGAGGTTTTTCGTGACCCACGAACTTGGTTCGGACCATAGAATCTGCCATTCACGTCAACGCAAGCCTTGAATACTGATACGACGTTCTATGGAGAAATTAATACAGTGTCCAGTCTGTAAATTTTCCACCCAAGGAGATTAGAAAAACAAATCAATTTTGCCGTCAGGACCTCCCTGAAAACCAACCCGGTGAGAGAAGCGTCCTAACGGAAGATCAACATATTATTTTTCGTTATTGCTCCTTTTTACGTACACGAAAAAGATGGCGTTGTTCATTTTCCGTCCCAATATCGAGTCACATCCAGCAATTTTTCTAAGATGTTAATGCAAACGTATTGTTATTCATACTTGTTAATAAGTTCAAGGACAAGCTCCTCTTTTCTTACAACCTGATATGCTATCTGTTTCATTTTGCATTTCTTTCAGTAACTGTAAAGGAACAATAATGATTTTAAGGTGGCTCGCCCCAGTTTGCCGCATTTTTTCAGGGCGTAGATTTTGACCGAACAATAATGTCAACACCGCTGTTGCTGTAATCCCAGCATTAATCAGTGTTGCTGAACAAGTTATGGTCATTTACCAGGAGATGAGCTACCGCAGCAACAGTGTACTTTGTAAAATGCCCTTAAAAATAGTGTTTCTTCAAAAACAAGTTCGATAACACACTTTTATGTCGCAGATTTTCGATCAGTATGTCAGAATCTATTTCGATCTTTCTCTCTCGCTCTCTCATACTTTGCCTTTCTCTTTAAAAGGAGTTTTGTAGCCAACTCTATCAACTTTCTTTTGCCTGGAATTGTGGCTTGCTAACTTTTTAGGAAAGGGACAAATTTAATCTCCAATGAGTAGTATAGGAAAACAGCAAAATTGGCAATGGATTTTCCCCAAAATGTCATTTTTTGTGAGTGTAACTGTTAGGATTAGTCAAAATATCCAAAACGAAGTATCGGTGGAAAGATCTATCTTTACTGACATTGTTGCTTACCAACTTATTAGTTTAAAAGGAACGCTAAACGGCTCTACGAAGGAAACATGCATCTTTTCATATGGAACCAAAACGTCCAAACCCGTCGTCGTTAAACTTTACCATTCACACCCGTCGAAAGTGAGTGAAGGAAAGAAGAAAGGAAGGAAGGAAAGAAAAGAAAAGAAAAGAAAAAAAGGAAAGAAAGAAATTAACTTGATTGATTCAAGTCTATACAAGGTTCTTGGTGTAGAAGAAGCTGAGAATTTAGTAAAGTTGTTCAGGCTAAAAAAAGCTTAAAACGAAGAACAGTTTCACATTGCATCACACCTAACGACGCGAAAATGGTGCTGGCCATAAGGCGCCTGGGTAGGACAAAATCATTGATCAAGAAAGCGTCTGACAGTGGAACGGTGTGTCCCACAGACTCCATGATGGCATATTAGTGCTAACAGAAAGCGTCAAATAGAACGAAAAATGGAAATCGGCCCCAACCAAAGCGATTTGCGCCCTAAGCAAAATATACTAGCAATTCTCAAGAATAAGGGTAGGGAAGGAAATGATGGGTTATATTGGTTGTTTACCATTTACACGGTCAAACCGGTCGGTTCACGGAGTGAGCAAAATTCAGGACTGGTAAATTTCATTCCGTAATCGCGTTTACCATTTGCACAAATCAATTCCTTTTACTGATAAACCACCCCGAAAGCCTGAAACTGAAATCAAAGATGGGTTTGAACAAATGAAACACGACCGGGAAAACAGGATTACCTTTTCAGATATTCCGTTGCTCCCGGAAATGTTCTTTTAGGACGACTCAAAAAGCCATGTTCCCTTTGCTTTCCCACCGGATTTCCCGGAAACCTTTTTGTAAGTGATAAACAACCATCATTCATTTGTTTAAGGAAAAATGACTGACTATTAATCTTATTACCTGAATTTTAGATGTGATTTTGGAAGCTCGGCAGGAAAAAACTCGTCGCACCCCAAGACGCACGCGTACAGCTTTTACGCATCAACAGCTGGGAATCCTCGAGAAAGCCTTCAGCAAAACGCATTACCCAGATGTAGAAATGAGAGAACAACTTGCTGAAAAGACCAACCTCCAGGAGGGGAGAATTCAGGTATAATGAACTGAATATTAAATCAACAAAACAACAAACAAACAAACACAGAAAAACAACACGTTACATAAATTAATGACACTCCTGCACTGTTAAAAAAGTGCTATTAAACCGTGCGTTTAGCCATAATTAAGATGCTGGGTTTGTACCTTTTTTATTGGACCAAGACGTCAAGGACTTATCAAGGACTTTTAGAAATTTTAGGGTCGGTCGCGTCTTAAGAAATTATTGGACTTCCAGATCTTCCTAAGTGGGTCAAGTTAATTTAAGAAGATAAATGTTTCTCTGATTAGTCTACCATATATACTTTCATAAACCTGTTCACGATAAACTGAGTTGAGCTAAATTAAAGCGTAGGGCCGACTGAAAATTGCTTAAAACGCGGTTTTTTAAACGCTGGCTAAACTCTCTTAAAAAAACCGGCACCTAGAGTTCTGTCTTGTTGCCATTCTAGAAGATCAAACGAATTAAATGTTTATACAGCAATTTTTGTCAATTTCCAACTTCACAAAAGATCCAATATAATTAACGAAAGACAAAAACATTTGCTAGTCTTATAAAAAGCTTAAATATTGACCGTTGACCGTAAAAGCTGACAGGTCCGGCTGTTTGAGACTCTCTATATTGGAATAGCTTCTCCATCAAAGTAAGGTCAGGAATTTATGTTTACTGGAAATTTATTCTTTTCTCTTGCGTTTTAGGTGTGGTTTAAAAATCGACGTGCCAAGTATCGTAAAGAGATAAGGACGTATTTTCTTCCCGAAAGCTACGAAAGTGATGAGGAACACATGACAAACTTCTGCCCAATGACAACGGTACATGGCACCCAAGGGCCTTCATCATGTTTTCAGTACAACACAGTTCCCTGTTATTATAATTTGAGCGATTCTCTGGAACCACTGACTTCTTTTGGATGTACTTCGCCCATGTACACGCATGCGCAGTTGTCCGCACAAAGTCAGTTAGCGCATGCCCATGGACCTCACGGCTGGAAGCCAATCAGTAATATGGCAATTGATCATGTACGTTTGGGAGAAATGTGGCTGCCATGAATACTACTTTTAAACCAATCAAATTGAACTATACGGCCACATTCTCACGTTTCTAATTCCTAAAAGCAAAAACAATAGTAAAGGCACCAGAACTTTCTGCTTAAATGATATCTAACATAATAATTCGATTGGCCGAAAAAATAAATTTACCGGCAAAGGATGAAAAGCATCCGATTGACACACAAGCAAGGGAACAAGTTTGAAACCTGTCGATTTTTCAGTTTCCGTTGTTTTGTGACAGTGTATTTTATCTACCTATGTATATGGGTCATTGCCAAGACCTATTGGAAAATAACAGCACATTCAACTCTAAAACCAGCCATTACCTACTTTATTATTATTTGACGTATTGGTGATTCACATGTCAGTCAAATGAGCTGAAGCAAGATCGCTTTTGAAGGTGTTACTAAAGGGCTTGGAGATATAGCCGGGCGAAAAGAATCCTACATTACGCACGGAACTCGACAGGCAACCACCGAAACTCTCGTAGAAGAAGGGTGATGTCACATATCTTTAGGAACGAAACAAAATGCAACAGCAGCGTCAATCATGATAACTTCCTGTAATACAATCCCAGAGGGGGTACTCCCTATAATGGCCTATACGGGGAGGCTCCGCCCGAAAGGGGTACCTTTTTTAGGCTCGTTGAAGTTATGAAAGGGTAAGGAAATCTGTCATTTCGGTAGGTATATAAAGGCCGAAAAGGGCTAACAGATGAATCTTATGGCTGCGAAAAAGTCGAGAAAACGGTCTGGTTTTGTAATTTATTCATATTTTAGAGACAGTGCATTTATAGCAGTTAAAGAGAACGCAAAGTTATAACTAGGTATGTGAAAGGGGTACCATTTGTCAATAGAAGGTATACGAAATGGGTGTCTTTTCTGTCAAATAAGGATAAGGGGTTGGCTCTCGAGGCGGAGCCTTCCCGTATGAAACGTCGTTGAGTCCCCGCCGGAGATGAAAGCCATAAACAGACACGACGTACTCATCAAAGAAGGCATCAAGGGCACACACCGCACAGCCTTTTAGCCAGCTATAATCTAAGGTAAACATCGATATATTCATATCCGAATCGATGTTCACCTTGGATAGCTGTCGTACACTTACGTTTACATACTACAGCCAGTGATAAGACCATTCACGACGACTCGATCCAATCTGCAAATCAGACTTTACTAGTGTAGCTATGCCGCTCGGATTTTCTTTCACTATATATATCGAGTAAAATGAACTCGAAAACGGGAAAAAAGTCAGAGACATTTAATTCGATTTTTGGATATGGTGGGCAATAAGTGCCATTCAGTAATCTAAACTGGTCCATTTTAGATTCGTTTGACAAATATACATAAATGAGATTTCAAAGTGTTATAAACTAAACATCTGGAACGTTATGCACTTTATGAGCCCTGTGTTTCAAAAGTCATAACCTTTACTATAAACTAACAAAAGGATTATTTGTTTTAGGATGTTTGTAATCTATAAAGTCAGCTATGAAAATGTCTATTCCGGAAATGCATTGCTAACAAAAGCAAAGCCTTCGTTCAACTAAGTCGGTTAACAAAGCTCTCACTAAAAATACAGTAGGTCATGATTGCTTTTTTAAGGATAAATGGTCGAAGTATAGAGGTAAGACGAGTAAAGTCATTGCCAATAGGTATTCTTTTTCTGCCAAAAATAATTTAAAAAATCAATAAATAAATCGATTTGCACTGTAAATAGGCTAGTAAAGGTTCAGTTTCGGATAGAGGTTGCATTCAAAAGTCCTGTGTTAATTCAGCCGCATTGCTGGACATTCAAAAAATATATATTTACTCGAATAAGTCAAAACCGACCTTAAACGCATCTGCTATCGAGTGTGGATAACAGGAGAATGATCACGCTGTCTCGGGTATGTTCGTGGGTGTCTCTTTTTATTTTTAACCAGTGACTGGTACTTCTGGCTGCGTTATTGTTTCTTAAGTTATGACGAATTTAACTTTGTTATCCATTTATAAAGCTAAAACTTTTCTTAGCATCAATTGAACTCCAAAATTATGGTCCAGTTTGCTATTGAAGAGTATATATTTCGCAACTGAAACTATTTTTTGTCGCCTGGATGGCAAAGATGGACATGGATTGAAACTTGAAAAAAAATGGGCCAACGTTGTGCCAACGTTGGTCAAGTTTTATTGCTGTGCTTGCAAAATCAACGAAGAATTATTATGGTTAGCGCTCCCTGATGAAATTTGTTTAAACCAAGTTTGTGACTCTACCAGAGCATTTCTGTAGCTAAATAATGACTGCTGTACAGAATTGACATATAACAGCAAAATCCCCAGAATATATTTCAGCTAAGCCCCCTAAAGAAACAGACTGTGAGACATGATGCAATTAACATTCTTCATGAGTGGAGTTTTTGTATTATCATTGGCCTTTAAATAGGCGAGTGAATCACCACCCCCCCCCCATGCTTTTGCATGCAATATCGACATTCTTCCATTCTTCTTACAGGCATCGGAACTAAAATCTAAGTGTAAAGATGCGTTTCTTACGTTGGGGAAACTAGTCTAAAAAAACTGTTAACCTAGCTGTGTGTTATGATTTATTTGATTATTTCGTGACCGACACGATATAAATGTATCACTGTGGCTCAGAGGTCCGTTTTTGCGAAAGTCCTAATGACTTAATTAAATGATTCTTTAATTCACCTACTATTGCTTTGGAAATTATAAAATTAATTCAGTTTTACAAATCGATGAGATTGAATGTTGTGTAGGCTTGCAGTTTAAGTCTACAGTTTATCAAGAAATGACAATGGGACAAGCAGAGAAAATGAAAGTTTAACTGAGAAACTATAAAAACCAGTTGTTTGGATCATGATTTTTGCCACTGCAACAGCCAACGAAAACGAAAACAAAACTCAAGGCAATGATGTGTACTATATACCTAAGGAGATTTAAATCGAAATTGACGAAATTGCAAAATGGCAATGGCGACACCGCGTTGCTATGGAAACTTTTATCTGCAAAAAAACTTCATTTCATACAGTATGAGAGGGTATGAGTCGATTTTCTGGCTTATGTGATGCTTCCTTGTTTTTCACGTTTAAACTGGGAAGGTATCGTCACCATACAAAACCGGGTCAAGCCACCTTAAATCAAATTGAACTAAGGTCAGTCGCAACTTGCAGGATGAAGGTCTTGAGGTCCGTTTCACGAAATTATCGCGATGGCTTATCGGGGCCAGCAAACGTTTTTCTGAGAGTGATAATTGCATCAGAGGTTTGAATGGTCTCAATTTTAAATTATTTGGACAAAATTTTTCAAGACCAATTAGGTTTGTTTTTGTTGGACCGACTAAAACCAGCCCTGGATACATAAGATTGAACATTATTAATAATTTTGTTGTTTGTTCGTGTTTTTTTCTATTCGACGGAAAAAATCGCGGGCTCTAGATCACTGAGCACACGAACAAGAACCAACAAGAAGTGATTGCGAAACACCAATTTCGTTTTTGGACCTTTCACGGGTTAACGCAGCTTTGTGGTATGAAGCCAAGTCTCCAAGTTTCAAGTTTCCCAACTTCTGCAGCACTCCTTTAATTTGACTTAAACGAAAAACAAACTGCAGGAAAACCCTGGCTATTATTCATTCAGTGTCCGGTGAATCGTAGACGAGAACTCAAACATTCTGAACCCTATCATATACTGGAAAGCTAAAAAACCCAGTTGAGAACACACACTCTAGCTTCACTTAAATTTCATCGTCTGGAAAAAACTTGTCTTGTCCTCGAAGATTTGCTTTTCGCTGTTTAAAAGTTTTCCCTTACAAGGCTAAACAGCTCCCCTTTTAATTTCAGAAAAGAAATGAAATAGCCCCGTATAATTCGTCTTATAGTGAGTGAGTTGCAATACAGAGTAACAAGGTCAAAATAATGAGAAGTATCTTCAGCTTCATCTTGTTTGTATAACCTCGCAGTGACTGAGCCTGTGTTCCCTCTAAACCTGTGAGACAGGCACCAATGTCTCTGCCACTTTTCAAAATCTTCATTTCAGCGCATCGTACCCTAACTACTGATTGAGGCACAGGAAGCATCCCTTTGGTGAATTCAACCCTAGATAATAGTTAGAGCCAATTGAATGATATGAATGATAACATAGTACACAATATCAAGTGTACTCACAGCTGATTTAGAGCTTTTATTTTTTTAGTAGCCTGTGTCTTACGAACTTATTGCATATTTCATCCAGTATAATGTCAAATATTGCTAGAAACATACGCACAGCATAACAAACAGTACAAGAGAAAAGGGCATTGATTCGGTAGCATTTACTTCGGCGGTATACACTGTATAATTTAATCGTTCTTATAAACGGTGAGCATCCTTGACAACAGTCTATTAGAGCCGCCCTTTAGCAGAGTAGCACTGATTAGAGTTTTTTTTTTTAACGGTTCAAGTGCAAATTACGAAAAACTCATGCTTAGGACACCCTGAATGGCATGGCAAACATGAATAGGAAAAATACCGTTCTAAAATAACTTCAGTTGTCAAACTTCACAACTTCATCCATAAATTTAAATTGTACAATGTAATTCACAAGAAAAGTGGCTTTTGTTATGATCGATGCTTTCGCAATTTCATCCCAAACAAATTCGAGTTAGATGAGCCTTAATAACAAAGCAATTATTGAGAGCTCTCTTTTTTAAACGATCTCACTATTTGGTTTTTTCTCTATAAAAAAGCAGAGATTACGATATGGAGGTAGTAAGATTCGGAGTGAAGGGGGTGCAAAGCAACTGCCTACCGAATACGAGAGGAAACATTGTCACTAAGGTGCCACAAAATTAAACACATTATGAATTGGTTTAATTTCATTAACGCAGTAAGGCGTACTAAAAATAAATTAAAAAATACCGTGATTTTAAGCGCGTATGGCAAAATTAAAGGGAAAAATATTTGACAAGAAGACCGGACGAGAAAGACAGGGGAGCGTTGTTACTGCACAACATCTTTTGTTCCGT